GCGCTAGCTTCTTGCGCTTGTCACTTTGCTAAGTTTGCTGAGATATGGATTTTCCAAACTACCATACCAATATCGACTTTGCATCGATTCTTTTTGTCTGAAAGTTGGGTTGGATTGCTATGCACTCGCCGCATGCTGGGTTGTGAGCTCGCGTGTGATGTGCACTGAGTTTTCCAACCTCAGGGGACAAGGCACCAGAACAAAAGGATTTGTTGTTCGCACTGACAAAGTTGTTGGTGCCGTGAGAACTGCGTCGTTGTTGGTCCAGCAACGAAGAAGTGCACAACAAAGTTTGATTGCGTGAGTGCTGTCATTGCTTAGCGTGCATGCACCCTGTGAGATCTAATCTAATCACTTGTTTCATTGCCTGCATGGTTGTTTGCTGCGCTTTGTCCATTCACGTTCAAAAGGGTTGTTTGCTGCGCTGGTAGGTTGAGTCTTACACGACTCTGTGTTGCGCAGCCATGTCGTCATTGGTGGCTGATTTGAAACATACCCAAGAGTTCCTCGAGGGACAGCGAAAGCTTTTGGCGCCTGATCAGTTCCGGGTGATCGTCGGTAAGCAGAGTTCTACTTGGTGCTCTCGCTTCAGGTCTTCAAAGATCTCACCTTCAGATTGCGCCACTGTTACTGGCATCCTTGTATCAGGGCCATGGAATGAAGAACAGAAGGGTGCGTTGGGCAACGCGCTTTCCGAGAGCATGATGGGTACTGAAGGACCTGCTCCGCGTCGACCTGCGCAGGAGCTTAAGAGCTTTCCATGCTATATCACTCCCAACGATGCCAAGGTCCTGAGATCCGATGTGCATAACATGGTGAAGTTGAGCTGCGTCGTGGATCGCTGCGTCAACTTGTCCTTGCACCTTCCCAACACCGCCACAGTGAAGCACATCGTTGGGTGCATGGTGGAAGGCGCATGTATATATATATATATAATCGAACATGAGTGGAATTTGGCATGTATGATGGAGTCACGCGGGTGGTGTGATATTTATCAATGCATTTACAATATGTGTCATTGGTAGATGTTTCGTGGTTTGTTTGTTGCATACGACCTTTCAAGTGGTGTCGTGGCAGCGTCTCCCAATGCCCAGTATAATCTGTTGAAGGAGTTCAAGTCCCAACTCAAAGCGAAGATCAAGCACCAGCCAAAGAGCAGCGTGCACTTGGAACATTTCCCAGCACGTCCAGACGATCTTCCGGATGAGCTGTGGAAACAGGCATACGGAGAAAGCCCAGAAGAAGATGATAAATTACCTATGGGGGCTGCAGCACTTGCAACAGGTGCGGTTTAATGCGCTGAAAGAGTTTGATGAATTGTTTTTGAAACGAACTTATGTATAGATGTATTTCGGATGGTTTGATTGTTTGGGTCCTGCGCGGTTCTGACAAGCAAATTCTCTCTACATTGTTTTCGGGGGCGAAGATGTGGTTTTTGCGGTAACCTTGGACTGTAGCTCATGCGGAGGCTTCGAGGGATTGGGGCACAAGATTCCTGTACGAAAGACGAATTCCCAAGTTCGAGACCAAAGCGCGACGGGCGCCATGAACACGAATATGGAGAGTTGGCAGCAGATGATGATGCAGTGCATGGCCATGATGCGAGGGCAGCTGCAGACGCAGGACACGCCTGCAGGCTTTCAAATCTTTGACAATCGGAGGAAAAGACAAAAGATGCTGACTGGAGGGGAGAGTCCCGCGGAGGCTGCATCTTCAGGGGCACACGCGAGCGCGCAGTTGGCCCTTCCAGCTCCAGCTGCACCATCCAAGCCAGAAATTGCCCTTCCAGCTGCACCGTCCAAGCCAGAAATGGCCATTCCAGCAGCTGTGCCCTCAGTTGAGGCCACTCCAGCAGGTGCAGCTGAAGATCCAGATCCGGCCATGCTTTTGTCCATGGAGGCTGTGAGGACGGCTTGCAAAGAAAGGGAAAAGGAAAAGAAGGCAGAGGCTGCCAAGGCAGCTGCTGAGGCTGAAGAGGCGGAGGGAGGTGGAGACAAGGCCAAGTCAAAAAAGACCCCCAAGAACAAGGCGGTCAAGCCAAAAGCCAAACCAGAATTGAAGTCCAAGTCTGAAGATGATTTCAAGACGCCGCGGCGCGGTCGACCTGTGCCCAAGGAGCAGCCTGAGTCGGCTGAAAAGGCTGCGGTTCCCAAGAAAGGTGATGGCACCTTCTTTTGGAAGGCCGGAAAAGTCCACAGAAACGATACCTCAGGCCATTGGCGATGCTTCAAACATCGCAGTGACAAAACCGACAAGAAGATCAAGATCGGCAAGACCGCGGACGAAGAGAAGGCAAGCTTTGTGCGCGCCTTGAAGTGGATCGAGGAAGACTGATCAATCTAAGGCTGATCGATAGCCCGCTACATAAAGCTTCCCTTCACCAGACTTGCGCGCAGGTTCTGATGGAAAACGTTGAGATTCGTGACGTTGGATTCGTCTGTGTACTTGGACACTTGTAGAATCAATTAACTTTAATATAAGAGCCAAGCGTGCATGCAAGCTGTTATCAAACTCTTTCCACAATGGCTGATGCAACTTTTGTCTCTGTACTTGGATAGTTGTAGAATCAAGCAGTATCAGAACCAATCCTGCAAGCGTTTATCCAGAATCATTGAACAATGCCCGTCCCAAACATTGCATGCGCGCTTCTGCGCTTGACTTGTCAGAGTTTTTTGGATCAGGATCAGTGCGTTGGCGCCTGTGCACTTGTGTAGTCATGAAAGCCTATGTATACACGCAGGTGAAGGCATCGTTTGCAATGTCTGCAGACCTGGCTTCGCTGCCAGATAAGTGGAAAAGGCTCCCTCCTGCACAGGAGGAACGACTGAGGGGTGAATGTCAGCAAATCTTCCTGCGCATGTCCAGCTTGACCGGCGGTTTCTATCCCTTCAAACTGATGGAGGAGAAGGATGGGTTCTTCTTGTTTGAGAGCAAAAGGTTCTATGACAAAATACTTGTGAAGGAGAGGCCCGCCCAATGCACTGTTCTCTCGGTGCATGCCTCAAGCCTGACCACTTGCATCCTGATGCAGGCAATGCGAGCTGTGACTGGTGAAGAGATCTGCTGGGTGACCTTTCCGAAAGATCGACCCATCAGAGGTCACGACTTGAGACGTGAGCTGCTTGAGAAGTTGCAAGAGACCACGCCAACCGAGTTCTCTGAATACAGCAAGCTGACGCTGGTGACTTCGAAGAGCCATGAGTGCATCAAAGACTTCGACACGGTGTTCAAGAAGACGCACCCCGAGGAGCGCAGTTGCAAGCGCCGCAGAACCGAGAAGCAGTGTGTTGGATGGTGGTATACCAGCTCGAAGTGTTTGCCATGCTCTACAGATGCCATTGCAGCTGTAGAACCTACAGCCGCCGATTCTGTATAGCCCATTAGGGGATGGTTCTAGATTAGATTCTAGATTCAAAGCTTGGCAACCGAAAGAGCCGGCTGGTAACAGCGATTTTGTTTTTGCTGAGGGGAGAAAGAGTTGTTTGTGAGCCTTCAAAGCTTTGTCCGCTTTCTCCTTGACCACGAAGCTTGCTTGCGTGAAAACACTCAGCCTTCCTGGAGAAAACAACGAGGTTTTTCAGATTCATGTTTGCTTTCAGGTCTCATGGTTGCGAATTGGCTTTGTATAAGAGTCGTTTGCTCATGGCATTCTTTGAACCTCCGAAGTTGAGCAGATTGAGATTTCATCATGTTGCTATTGCTTGTGGCTCCAATGTCGAAGTATATATTTGGGTCTCCACGCAGATGTTCAATAGTTCTTTGACGTCAGCTTCCAAGCGTGTGACGTGTATACTGACATCCACATGAACCCTTTCAAATCATGTCATATGTTTACGCATGCCATAATATATCTCTTTCCACGTGCGTACAGTGCATATCTTGTTTTACATGTGTTGGCTATAGCTGGGCGTTCTGCTCGCTATACAAATCATGGCCAGTTCGAGAGGCGCAGGAAAGCAGCCGTCGCTTCACAAAGTGAGAGGCGGTTACAAACAGCTGTCTCAGCGTGCTCTATCGGCTGTTTTGGAAGAAATCCATGAACGTGGAATTCCCAAGGCAACAAGTCGGAGTTCAATCAAACGATCGAAGG